TGATAGTTTATAAATGGGTATTTTGTCATATCTTGCCCTATCCGACGTCTCCCTTCATCCACTTTTCGAAGCAGATGTTTTTAATTCAGTGCATTGTTGGTAAATGATATTCAGACCTATCTTGAAGTTAGTGATGATAGATATTTTTGTGATACTTAAGAGTCTTGGGACACTTCCCTACTGTAAATGAACTCTAGTTTTAATTTCTAGGAAAAGCCACAGTGAAACTGAAATGATTATTTTCAAGTGGATGTGTAATACGTAAGTCATAACAAATAAAGCACCCCATTAATGACTGAAACATGACGTAAGCATTCTTTTCCCAGGTGTAGAATGAGCCAAGGAGATTCAAACCCAGCAGCTATCCCACATGCGGCCGAAGATATTCAAGGAGATGACAGATGGATGTCTCAGGTAAAGGACGTGCAGATGATGCGGCACCGCGGAGTGAGGCCGTCCCCACCAAAGTTGCAAACGGGTCTTTTAAACGGAACCTGTTACTGCCAATAAAAATCCGACACTGGAAATGCCCTGCCTGTTCACCAGTCTGATGTTGGAACTGAGCAATATTTTCAAAGCCTGGTATTGCTCTCTGTATCTTAAAAGGTTACCGATTCTTTTTAAAGCTTTTCCATTAGAGGGTAAATTCAAAATTTTATAAGTGTTCCAAAAATTGTCAAAGGGCTCTCATCTTACTTTATCTAGGTCCACTGATTGCTAGTGTTGTGCTACATTTGCCTAATTATCTTGTCTGTGCATGCGTACACGCATGCGAACCTCAGAAGAAAGGCTGGTGATCTAGTGAAAAACCAGCCATTGAAAACCCTGTGGAGCACAGTTTTACTCCAGCACACACGTGGCGATCGGGAGTCGGAACTGACTTGATGGCATATACCTGGTATATACCAACATTGGGGGGGTGGGTTCTGAACTGTTTCAGAGTAAGTTCCCTCCATCACTCCCCTTTACCTTTATTTATTTGAATTTACTGTGAATCGGATGGCGGTAGAACTAGTCTATTCAATAATTCATACACATTTTGTTTCATCTCATTGATTGTAATCCCCACAATGTAGTATCATTTACCTCACTTCCTCCCTGTGTTTCCTGTTTTCATTCCTTTCTAACCCTTCTGAACTTTGACCTTGGGTCAGTGCTGCCCTTTTGATCTCACGTGGTTCAGTTTTCTAACATATAGGTTCCCAAAATTACCTGGCCCACTGCCCCTTCAAAAGAAAAAATTTAACCAGCATCCCCCTGGCAATTAAAAACATTTGTATCTCGCCCATAATTCAGGATAAAGTGTAAGTATCTGCTTTTGCAGCCCCCCTAGATCATTGGGGTTGGGATGGGGTGGGTAGTATCACTCACTTGGACAGGAGTGTCCTATGGTGTGTGTACCTCCCTATAGACTTTTTTATTGTTTGGGTGAAAATAGAGCTCTGGAGGGTGACCTGAAGGGGCCTAAGGGACATAGTAGCTTCAGGGATTCCACCAGCCGATCCAGCC